CCCTCTTGGGACCCAGGAACAGAGGAATTTGCTCTTTCTTTGGAATGTGGGTACCGCTTGCTTCGCTTCTTTTGGGAGCAGTGGAGGAACAGACACACACACAAACAAAGACTCCACCCGGCCCTCACCCGGGGGGAGGGAGTGGATCGGTGACCAACTCCCAGAGCATCCTCCTCCATCCCTGAGCGGCCCGCTTCGGAATGCTTTTGCTGTGGCTTGCCACCTGGCTTGGCAGCCCCTGGAGCGGGCTGGGCATCCCTACTGCGGCCGCCTTCATGCTGAGGCCTGGCTGGAGGCTGCGGAGGCCCAGTGGGAGCAGCGGCAGGGGAACGCCCTCGGCGACGAGCAGGTGGAGGAACTGCCACCGGCAGCGGGGTGGAGGCAGCAGCGGGCCGCCGGGGCAGGATGTGCCGGATGGCCTCCATCTGCGCTTGGGCAGCAGAGAACTGTTGGACGTAGTTCTCCGCCGTGTCGCCGACCAGCCCAACCTGGGAAATTGGGGAGACCAGGAACTGAACCTTGTCCGCATCCGCCATATCAACCAGGCTGAGCCAACGATGGCGCTCATGGACCACTAACCGCCACGACACTCGTGCCCGGAGGGCGAGGTTGGATGCAGTGCGATGCTCACCTATGAGCACACGGTCTGGGCTACCCTTGCCCACAGGCTTTGCCCACAGGCTTTGTAAGCTCTGCCCGTCGGAACAGACGAGAACTCACAGGTCATAGGGGGGAGATGAGGATCCCCCCAAAAGGCAGCGGCCGCCGGACACAGGTGCACCTGTGTCGCGACAGACCGCTCCACTGGAGGGATAACCTTGCAACCCTTCACCGCTCCTCCATCAAAGGTAGTGAGGGGGAAAAGCTATCCAGGCAGTTTCTGGCAGAGAAAGGTGCCATCCACAACCTGGTAAGCTCTCCATGCACTTCGGGAAAGAAAGGCACTGGGGCGGCGAGCTGAGAACCAGTGCGGCCCGCCCCGAGATACCACTCCTCCAACCGAGACTGAACGGGACATGAAATTCAATTCTTCAATAAACTTCATTCCTTCCCATACCCACTAACATTTACCTTAGCAAAAGCTTCTGGCTTGGTTGCAAAGTAGTTGTAGAGTTTTTGACTGCATCAATAATAATGTTTACGATTGATTAAATGTTCTAGCCTAAAAATTTTAGACGAGCTTTCTTCCAACTTACCTTCTCCATCACGACCTATGATCACGACGTGTGTTCGCACGATATTGTTGGTTACCTAACGAACGTACGGTGGCCGAGTATGTGTGTGCGTATACGTTCGCGCCATCTATGCGTTCGCGCGATGACCGAGAATGTTCCGTCAACTTCCGTGTGTTCGCGCATCTATGTTGCCTAGTAACGAACGCAATCTGGCCGAGATACGGACGCGCTGGCGGCAGGAAACTTCACTTTGTGTGCCTGCGCCTCGTATACAACGTTATATAAAGCTTGCAGGACAACTTGGTTGGCATTGCCTTTTCAGCGTGAGAAATACATGGTGTGGCGTGTGAGCGTGTGAACTGGTTGAATTGCGTGTGTCTCACGGCCAATGCGTGAGACTTGAGAACCCTGTTAATGATATAGCCTAAGTAAAAATACAATAGTGGACATAATAAGCAAAATAGCTACTCTCTATAGCTAATTCTTCTAGCCAACGTGCTATATGGTCATTAAATTACTTTCCTGGGGTAGGCTAAATGTAACTTTATGTTCTCCAGCTGTTTTATTGACCTCTTTCAGCGGTTGAAAAACACTGATTGATCGAAATTATGCATGGGGCATATACATTTCGGCAAGTTGTACTGTCTCTTTGAACCCTTCATTCGTGTTTATTTACTAGATGATTGGTTCACGTGCCGCTTGAACTGAGGCGCTACAACGATCTGTCACATCACGTCACATTTACAAGCGCCAAAACGGTATTTATTGTTTGAATTTCGAAATAAAATTGACAGAATCTGAGAGCTGAGAAGTTGTTTGTTTCATATAAAAAGTAAACTTCTCTGTCTTGTCTGTCGCGGTGTCAGTGTCCTCTTTCCTTCGCGATTTTTCTCTGCGTGAGAAAATGGATGTGTGGCATACATTTTAGGGTTAGTGATATCACTTACCCGGGAGGAATGTCGTGTAGTCCCTGCAGTCATTTGTTGTAGTCCTTAAAAAAGTATTTCTTTAAAAGCTAATATCTTGCTTTGCTTAGAACTTTGTGCGTTGTAACTTTGCAGATGTTGTTTATGCTCAAACAGCAACATTTCACACTAACTAAGTTAGAAAAGTCAAGCACACCGTTCAAACATCAGAAGCCTCTGTCAATCTGGAAGCATGTTACATTCATCAATATAACAATTCATCAATATAACAATGTATGTATTGCACTATACAATGTACTGCACATAACAGTCCAAAAAAAACGTTATGGGACTTGTAAGTTGCACTTGTATAAATTGTATTGCATTAGAAACTATTTCAAACCAAGTGGCATCTGCAAACAGATGATGCTATCTAGACCATTTCTCAGAACTAACTTCACTTTGTTTAATAATGTTGCACCACTTTGTGAAATGTTTTCCTTAAAATGTTTGAGCAATATTTTTTTATTTGATATATTGTTATATAAGGGAAAAATACATTCAGTTTGTCTAAAGTGTCGACAATCATGCTTCACATGTGATATATGACATATTAACAATATTGCAATATCACCTCAAACATTCACCTGAAGCATATTTTGATATTTTGAGTCATTCACTCAAAAACAGACGTCAACACTAGCATAACATTTGCCTGATTTTTTACAGCAGGGCAAATGAGTGTAGCACTGAGCCTGCACATGCTTAGCATGCATGGCTTTTAGTAGGTTAGGGAAGTGGCTAAAAGAGATACAAGCCAAGATAAACAATCAAATTAAAAGGCAACAAAAATGGAAGTTTTACAGCATTACATTGAACATTCTGTAAAGTAAAACTGTTTTAATTACTTCCAATGGTGATCATGAAAAAATATTGAATTGCATGAAATATATTTGAATTTCTGCCCTGAAACCATCCGTCTCCTCATACTTTATATAATGTTATTAACAATCTTTGGAAAGAACAGGATTAATTTTCCAAGACCAACATTCAAGATCTTTTTTTTTTTCTTCTTGATGTATACTAGGTGAAGCTTCTTCAATACATCAGAAAACACTAAATGTGAATAACAGATGTATTCCTGAGCAAAACTGTTCCTTTATGCTCACACATTTATGTTGTGCATGTAACACTGAAATGTGAAGATGTTGACAAATGAAACATTTATTGAGCCGTAAATCTTCATTTGCTCATTACACGTTCATTCCACAGACAGTGGAGAGTGGCCACTGTGGAGCTCGGTGACATTCTCACTATTTCAACACCCTCCTTCCTCCTGAATAGTTTAAGGCTTGTAATGTAATTGGAGATTCCCAGTGCTGTATTTTTGGCATGTCCACCATGTGTGCACTCAGTAAGTTAAATGATGGTGCCAAGTGGCAGTTCTACATGCCGCGGTGTTATATGGTGTATATTTACAGGCTTAGTTCCAACCCACAATTTAATCTGGCATGTTCTAACAACAGTCATCATAAGCATTTTAATAGGCTCAGACTGTATAATACAACTGATGGCGCATTCATTGGTCTTTTAATTGACTTATTGATGCAAGAAATAGATAAATAGGTTTTTATTTGCTGTTTACGCTAATTGATTTTTAACATATATTGACATTTGATTGTGTCAAATCTATATGCGCACATACTGATCCCTTGACAACTTGTAGGAATGACTTAAAAGGAAGTTGCTTGTGCCTTAAGCAAGCAATTAAATTCTGACAGATATGGATAGAGATAAATTATGTGTGTTCTTTGCACTCTTACACATTGTCTACAACCTAATGAACATTAAAGTCTTTAGTTAACTCTGTGGAATAATTTCAAAATAAAATTCATAGTCAGAAATCAGGAAACTCAAGAAAATGCATCATAGGGTAAATGTTGCCAATGGAGCTCTTCTGAACATTTATAGCATGGGGTAAATGCTCGATTGTCTGTCAGCAACATACATATTGATATTTTAAAGTATTTAGTCATTTTATGGATGCTGAATTGGCACTCCATTCTATAAGTAACAGAGGACACTTCCTCTGGCCAACTCATGTTAGAGAAATATTTGAATCATACAAAGATAATAGAACAAAACACTGACCATTTGGGAACATGTTGCTGTTTTTACCATGAATAGTGTAACTGAGACATGTCATTTGATTACTGCTCCTGACCAATGTGATGAAAGCTATGGAACACATCCAAAAATAGTCAAGGTACAACTGTAGAGGTAAGAAGAAACCTATTTCCGTACTTTTGATCACCTCCAAGAAGGACCAAAGAAGGAAGGCTTTGGGTTTCATAACTGCCACACCTGCCGCACAAGCAGTGTGGTTGTGTGAAGTTCAGGACACAGAATCCGGTGTGAACTCTATGACTTTAAATAGCAGCATCTATAGGATGTGACATGAAGCTCTACTCGGCTGCATGATGCTGAGAGTTATGCTTACCTAATTATTCATTAGAGATCACCATTTCAGTGTCCTCTTGTTAAATATATTTACATGATTGTATTGTTTTCTTGTTACACATTTAGTAAAACGGTCTCTCAAAATCAAACAGATTGTCCTGCCATTATATGACACCAGCCTCAGTATGAAACCCTATTCAAACATTTTTATTCCAGCCTGAAAAAGAGTGAACTGGTCTGATCTCTCTTCAGTCTGTCAGTACTTACTGGTAATAAATCTTAGAAAAATTCATATAAAGCACAAATTATGTATTGCATAATGGTCAAATAATTTAAACCAATGTAACATTATTTAGCCAGCTGTCTGCACAGTAATGTTTGTCATTTGGTAATGGTTCAAAATAGGATAAATATTCTCTTGCAATTTACAAATGCTTGGTTAACCATCAAAAACAAAAGGTTAGGAAAACACATTCAATCCTTTTATTGGGCATATAAACCAGTAACTAAGTTACTACTTTGCTGGCAACTGCTTGTCCATCATGTGAATAGGGATGACGATCTCTCCAGGGAGACTGGTAGAGCCAGGTAATGGGACCTCAACTGAGAGAATACCATCTGGAGACAGCATGGAGTTGATCAGTTTTAGGTCTAAGTCAGCTGGAAGCCTACACAAGGAAAATGAAACCAGCCATGAATAATGATGGAGTAACGCCCTACATTATGTAAAGCTGAATTATGTGATGCAAAAATACAGTATTAAACACAGCATAATTTCCAGTTAGGTTCAGCTTGGAGAAATATTTTTTTGTAATTATTTTCATTTTAAAATACAGTACGAGTTAATATGAGACCACAAATCAACAACAAAATAAATAAAACAAAAGCTCCCTTACTTGTATTTTCTTGTAAAGCTTCTTGAGATCAATTTGTGATTATCATGCCTTTCCTCGTGATTACCTATGAATGAAAACAGATATTAAAGAACATGCCTATGCCATCTGAATGAAATGTGATTTGCAGAATGTGGTCGTTGTATGTGCTATTTTTAACAAAATAAATATGCAGTGCATTATAAATATACCAAAGCCAGACATATCAAGGTCATCCTACCTGTTATCTCCAAATATCCCTCCTTGGTTTTGATGCTTATATCCTCTGGAGAATATGGACTAACATCTAGACAGACTTTCCAGTTTTGCTGTCCTTTCATTTGTTCACACACGGATTCAGAATGCCGTCCTTCACGTCCAATACATGATTTAGCAGGAATATCCATGCACAAAGAGCTGAATAGAGGTAAACCCATAGATCCTGGCCAGGTTGAGGTCCCTAATCTTTTCCTGGCTGAATCTATCCAGCTAACCTCATCAGGCTTAAGGAAACACGGTAGGTCGGTGTTTTGGTTGAAAAGGTTTTTATGTGTTCCCTCCTGAAGAGGGTCCCAGCAAGCATTACGGTAAAACAAAGGACGAGGCATCTTTAAACTTAATTTCTAAACCATTTGTTTTGGAGCTCTGAATATCTTATTCTGATATAGCAACAGTAAATCTGATATGCAGACTTGCAAAAATCTACAGAAAGTTGCCACACACTTCTTTTATACTGTTCTTGTCTATTAAACATTCATCCCAAATTATCCAGTCCCAAAAGTTAACAAAGAGGCTTGGCAAATCTTTCACCTCTGTGTTACAATCTGACATACACAGAATGATGCCATCCTGTCTGTATTAATAGAACTAAAGGGGTAACGGCAAATTCTTGGCACATGACAATGGGCACACTGGCAATAGTGTTGTTTCATTAATGGCCTCTGTAGTCTGGTCACATCTTAGTGCTTTTCTTTTACCATGGTAACGGACGCTGTTGTACAATAGTATGTACTTACACAGTCTTTATCAAAGCTCTAGAGAATTCCTGTAAACAACATTTAGAGTCAGATATACTATGATACATTACATAACACTGATAATTGCTCAGATTCTACTACCTGATGCTAAACTAAGCAAGAAGCTAAACGATTACTTTAAATGTTTTAACACAGGGGAAAAACAAAACAAAGCCAGATATTCATTCACTTTCTTTAATGACAAATCATTAGGATTAAGCATATTTAACTTCGTCATAAATGCTCAGGATAATTGCATTGAGAAAAATCATTTACACAAACATGATCATCTTTTATTCTCTTTCCCCTTCTCCATTACACTCTACAGAAGAACCCTACTTCAACTACTTCACTGTGCATCTTATTTCATAAGTGACTTGAAATTGGTTGATCTGAATGGGCTGGAAGACAAAGGGCTGATCTGTGTTCAGTTAGAAAGGCACAGAAAGAAAGGCTACAACAGATATACAGTGGGAATGCAAACAGAATACAAGAAAAATGGTTTTCATCAGCACATTTCTTTTCATTGTAGTAGAATGCTGATAGCAACTCTACAGTGCGTGTGATTCTCTGGCTCAGCAGCACTGGATCAGTGGGAGTGTACTGAAATAGATGAACAGCTAATTATTTCAGTGCATTTATGTTAATAAAACAAAGCCTTGCAATGCATTGGCATAATATGCCATTTGAAATCTCTAAGAAATGGGATCCATGTATAGCCAAACATTAAGAAATATTTATAGTTCTGTACCAGCAGTGCTAAAGTCTCTCAGGCAAAAGGATTTCCCCCAAACGGGTCCCCAAAAGCATCTGCAAGAGCAGCAGTCTGAGTGGCTGGAGTGCTCTGTGAAAAAAAATTAAAAAAAAAATATATATACATATGACAACGAAACTCATACACAATATAAATTGGGATAAATTGGAATCCCAAAAACAGTATAAACACATGGTCACAGTGTCAGTGTTTTTAACATTATAAACTTAAAAAACCTGCACATACTGTATTCATAGGTGGTGCTCCAAAAGGGTTAGTTCCAAAAGTGTCATCAAAAAGGTTTGAGCCTGCAGGGACTAGATTAGGAGTGAAAGCAGCATCCAAAAGCCCTGCGGCTGGGACCGGGGTCAGACTAGCAACAGTTGCAGGGGACTGCTGAGGAGCAAGTTTGGAAGTCCCTGGACACAAGATGGGGAATTGTAATGATCAAACTATCAAAATCACTATGCTGCATGTCTTAAAATCACAAGTAGCAGCTGATAATTAAATGAGTACCATTTGAGTTCACGGAGATTTGGTTTATGTCAAAGTCATCATGATCTGCCACCTCCTGAGCCAGGCCAACCTTACTGGAAAAGTACTGGTCAAATGAGCCATTGGTGTTTGGACCAGGTTCTTGTTCTGCTTTCTGGGGCTTAACCATCTGGAAATTTTTGAACATGTCTTTTCCAGTCTTCTTCTCTTTCTCCCCAAGGGGGTCCAAAGCTGTAAAGGCACTTTTGACCACTGGGGGTTCTTCTTTCACCGGAGGACGTGGTGGAGGGCGAGGTGGAACAACTGCACCCTGCTGCATACCCATTATTGCATTAGGAGGCATCATGGGAGCAAATTGGTTTGCTTGGAAAGGACTGGCCACAGGACCAGCAGTGGGCCAGGCCCCAACAGGTGCTGCGATTCCCGGTTGACCCCAGGATTGTGAGGCAGCTGATGGACCAAAAGACAAAGCTCCTTGCTGCCCCCATGCAGGTCCAGGCAGGCCTCCAAAAGCAGATGGTTGAGGAAAAGGATTTGGTTGTCCCGGAATGGTTACTTGAGGAAAACCGCTCTGAGGAAACATTGTGGGTGTTTGACCCCATGGAGATGGGGCTGTCCCAGGAGTTTGAGTGACAGAAGTAGGGCCCAGAGACAATGAACCTACAGAGAAAAACCAAAAAGCAAAAACAAAATACAAATCAACATCAAAATATTTTAACTAAATCATGCTCAATGGCATGCAAAAAAACTCAATTAACAGTCAGCAGACCCCAGGGGGCGTTCGAAGAGAAAATAAAAAAGATGATCTTACAATGACACGTACTGTATAGTAATTTACACTATAAATGCAGATTGAGGGTTTTTTTTTTTAAAACATTGTCTTCATGATACCACACTTGATAGTTTTCCCCTCACACAGTATAAATAGGTCTTCATACAGGGAAAAAATAAAACTGAAGTAAAAAACAAATGTAATGATGAGATCAGCCAATTCAGTTATACTAGTGAAGCACACATTATACCAAGAGCATTGATGGTGGAGGAAGGTGTTGTGTTGAATAAGTCCGCTGGAATGGATGAATTCTGATTCGAGGACTGGGACTCCTGGGTTGGTGGAGCAAAGAGTTCAGCTCCAAACATGTCATTTCCAGGTGACTGTGGAGGCACAAAGTTGTTTAAAATAATTTTTAGTACTCTGCAATTAAGCAAAATTACAGTGCCAAATGACATGAAAAAAAAAAGAGATGTGGAATAATGCTGCCACTGAGAAAGAGCCCAATTTATCACCAAAGTAGTCCAAAAAAAAAAATAATAATTCAGCTAAGTTTGATACACATACACAGTATATATGTAGATAGTTTACTTGAATAAATTCTCCCTGCACAATTAAACTGAGGCACAAAGCACGCAGTTAGTCATAGTATTGCTTTCAGGGATTCCCATGACATTGTTGTGTACATCCACAATGAAGTTATGTTTTAAAAAAAACAACTTTAAAATTAACCATTTTGTATGGATGCATCTAGCTTCTTTGAGTAGAGAAAAAGGACCAGTCTATTAGCATAAAACTTGGTAGCTTTCCTTCATCAAAAAGTATATAATCAATTTAAGACACACAGTACATGGACAACAATGCCATGTCCCTCAACACAAGTTAATAATGTGACAGTTTCCATCCAATTTTTCCAACGTGCCCAAAAAAAAAACCTCCCCCTAAACCATAAATCCAACTATCAGTGTGAGTGAGTTGTATGAGACTGACTACAAGGACTTTTAAAGTCATAATCATTTAAACATCCATTTCTTCTCAAGCCTCAAAGCATTTAGACAATGTGAACATCTTTACATTCAAGTACAAGATGCACACTTTTTTATTATTTTAAAATATTGATTAAATTGAATTATACAGCACAGTCCTTATAGTCCCTCTCATCAATGGTATGTGAAGTAATACAGACAGAGAGCTTTGTAGGGGGGTTTCTCTTGCCACAAGTTCACCTTCCCTCTCCTCCGCATGCATCCAGACCTCGAACTTTGGGGTGGGGGGCAAAGGACCATCAAGCCTCCATTTTGAACAGAAGGTGGCGTGATGGTTTGAAACAATGCCACTGATTTACTGGATTCATTACACAAGAGAGGAGTTTGGAGGACAGGAGGACCTGATTTGGATACCCCGTTTAAGATAGACGGGTTTTTCATTGAGGTACTCAAAAAAGGATTCTGGCTAAAGAGGGAATTGCTGTCACTGTTCAGATCGCTTAAAGGAAGCTGCTTTAATTGAGCATTTGGACTTTCATGGGACAACTGGGCACCGGACAGTCCATTAAACTGCTGACTGTGTGAAGTGGAGTCTTTACTCAGGCTTTGCTGCAAGTCTGGCCCATTTAAGAGGAAACTAGAAAGATCTGACTTGTTATTGGAAGAAAACATGGAATCTGATTGTGTGAAATCATTCAAGGGAGAAAAGGGATCATCACTGAAGGGATCGGAACTAGGAGTTGGGAAAAGATCTGATGTGAATGAAACCGGTTTGTCGTCTGATTTATTGCAGAGAGGAGATGGGTAGCAGATGAAAGGATTTTCTTGTTTGCCATCAATCACAACAGCAAAGTCAAGCAGAAGAACACTCTCAGGCTGGTTTTAGAAGGGAAAAAAAAAAAATAATAATAATAATAATAATAATAATAATAATGTGAGGTAGACTATGAAACATACTGAAAGAAAATAGTAAGGCAGTTATAGCATATAACATGAAAGTTTCCATAGGAAGCATCTTAAACACCAGTAATTGAAGTGCTCTTTTCCCATTTAATGGTTTTGGGTGCCATCTACTGGCCAATGGGACTTACCCAAAAGCATTTTTAGCAGTAAAAGAATTTGGTCATGAAAAAGCAAATGCTTGAGGCCTTTAAATGAGAAAAGAGGGCTGATCATGGATGACTTTGGTAGATGTTAACAGAAGATACTGGCAAATACTTTAGTATGTTAAGAACCCAAAAGGACAGAAAATTATATCTAGGGAAGAAATATAAGACAAGAAATCTAGCCACATGCGAGGCAAACTCTTTGCTCATTCTAAAGTCTGGGTATATTTCTAAAAGGAATTATTTAATAAACCACTTAAAACATGTCAACAGCAGAACCACTGCCAAATGTATACTGTAGGGTCATTACCGTAGGAGAGTGAATGTCAGGTGGAGTGGACATATTGCCAAACAGGTCCATCTGCTCTACGGTCTGAGAATAACACAAAACATGATACCTCTAGGTTATTTTCTGAGGATTCCAAGGTCCATTTGGAGGGTTTTTTTCTCCCCCCAATTAGTATGAAATTGCCATTTTGTATGAAAGCACTTACTTTTACAGCATTTTCTTGGCCATCCAGGGTGAGTAAAGCATCACCACCATTCTGATGACCAAACATTAAAGGGTTAGTTCACCCAAAAATGACATTTCTGTCATTAATTACTCACCCTCATGTCGTTCCAAACCCGTAAGACCTTCGTTCATCTTCGAACACAAATGAAGATATTTTTGATGAAATCGGAGAGCTTTCGGTCCCTCCATTGACAGCAACGTCATTGCAACTTTCAAGGCCCAGAAAGGTAGTAGAAACATTGTTAAAATAGTCCATGTAACTACAGTGGTTCAAACTTAATATTATGAAGCAACAAGAATACTATTTTGTCGTCCCCCCCAAAAAATAACGACATTGTTGAATAATCTCTTCCACGTCATTCTTCTATGCTGTTGATGTAGTGTAAACAGTGCAGCGCTTCTGGGTCATGTGTGTGATGCTAACCAGCGTCGGCCAATAATGAGTCGACGTTCTGACGAGAAGAGATTGTTGAATAATATCGTTATTTGGGGGGGGGGGGTACACAAAAAGTATTCTCGTCGCTTCATAATATTAAGGTTGAACCACTGTAGTTACATGGACTATTTTAACAATGTTTTTACTACCTTTCTGGGCCTTGAAAGTGGCAATGACGTTGCGGTCAATGGAGGGACAGAAAGCTCTCAGATTTCATCAAATATCTTCATTTGTGTTCGAAGTTGAACGAAGGTCTTACAGTAATTAATGACAGAATTTTTATTTTTGGGTGAACTAACCCTTTAAGACATGAATGAAAGATTACATTAAAATATCGCCCAAAAATGGTTTACACCCACCTCAATCACAGTGCCATTTCCTTCACCCTGCAGTAGTAAAGGTTTCGGTCAATAAAATGAATCGAACAATAGAAAAAAATGGTTAAAAATGTATATGAAAACATTGAAAAGCAGTAAACTACTGAGAGAAAAAAAATTCAAGTCTTGAGCACTCAAAATAGCTTAGCTTACAAACAGACAAATCTCTAGACAGGCCTACAATCTTCCTGCATTAAATATGTACAGTAATACCAAACTCGTTCCTCATTTTAAACAGTAAAAAAAAAAGAAAGAAAAAAAGTAAATGCTTTCGTTTTAAAGTATTACAATTATATTCACATCACCTTCAGTGCAGCCTCCTCTTTCTTCTTCATATTGAAGATTAGTTGAAACAGATCCTTCAAATCAGTGACCAGAGACTCAGCCTGAAAGAGGAATTGACAACAGAATACATGAGTGCTCTGCTTACACTGTGGAACATTCCATCTACATTGTAACTTTTTATTGTCTCTTTTTTGTAAGTGACACCAAAAAGAATGGCAAAATAATGACTCTTTACACCAGGTTTCAATCATAGCCTTCCATTGTTCAGACAAACCCACAGCATATACAGTGGTGTGAATAAGTTATTACCCCCATGCTAAAGTTGCCTAAAAAGAGGAATAAAAAAATCATCTTTTGGAAATTGATCTTAATGCCTTAAAGAAAATTGGTGTCCTTAAAGGTTGGATTTTTCCTCATTTTTCTAATTATGTATGAATAATGTATCATAAATAAATAAATGTTCTTCCTTAAAATACAGGGTGCATAACTGCCCTACAAAGGCTAAGAGCAGTATCTTTAATTTTTCACAATTTTTTTTGCACAAATAAAAAGTGCAGGATCTGCTCTACAATCTGTTAAAATTTAATATGGCTACCAAATAAATTTCTTATATAAATTTACATTTTTAGTTGCAGTATTGTATAGAAAAGTAGAGTGAAACCAAGGCAGAATGCAGTATCTGCCCGTACTGCAGTCTGCCTTGCAGTCTGCCTTGGTTTCACTATGATACTGCAGTTTGCCTTTGTGTGGCATGAGTCAGGTTTTATAGCATACTGTATGTATATAGCTCATATTTCATTTATTGATATATTGATTCCCTGAATGATTAAACTTAAACTGTTTGTAATTACATGTGAAGACCTATCCCAAACTGAAATAAAAGCAATGCGTTAATGATTGCCATAAAAAAACAGCACTTTTGTGATACAATTAAAATATATTAATCTAATAACGCGTGTTTTTTGTTTGTTTGTTTTTTGAAAAATATGATTAATGCCAAAGGGGATGGAAAGTCACAGCTTAGCAGAAAGAATGAAGATGGAGAAAACGGTCAATAAAAAAAAAAAAAAAGGGGGTTTACATAATATGCCACATAATTTTAATAGTTTGGTTATAATTAACATATACTGTACTTTTGACGACTATAAGCAGCTGCTGCAGCTGTGTGCAAAGGTTTTGGTGATTTATGATTTATGATATAAGCAAGTGATTATGATCACTTGCTACACTTACTGCTATATGTTATTGTATGGCCATGTAAGTATACGCAGTAATGCAAAGGCAAAGCGCAGTATAGCCTATAAAACTACCAAAGTTTGCCTGACTGTTAAAAAACGAAACGTTTAATATTCACCTCCCTTTGATCTATCTAATTGTACCCTTTGTTGTTAAATTTAATTGGATGCTTATATCTGGTGTAAGAAAAACACAAAAAGCTGTTTTTCTCAGTTTGGAGTTTTTGCTGATACTGCTCTTAGCCTTTGTGGGGCAGATAAGTCAGGCCCCCCCTATGTTAAATTCCCATAGAGTCAGGCAGATTTTTATTTTTAAAGGCCAGTTATTTCATGGATCCAGGATAATATGCATCCTGATAAAGTTACCTTGGCATTTGGAAATAAAATAGACCCACATCATCACATTCCCTTCACCATACCTAGAGATTGGCATGGGGTACTTTCCATAAGATCATCTTTCAATGCAAATCAAACCAGCTATTAGGCTAACTGAAATAACACCATGCCAATCTCTAGGTATGGTGAAGGGAATGTGATGATGTGGGATATTTTAATTCCAAAGGCCAAGGGAACTTTATCAGGATGCATATTATCCTGGATCCATGAAATAACTGGCCTTTAAAAATAAAAATCTGCCTGACTCTATGGGAATTTAACATAGGGGGGGGCCTGACTTATGCACCCTGTATTTTAAGGAAGAACATTTATTTATTTATGATACATTATTTATACACAAAGAAAATTGGTGTCCTTAAAGGTTGGATTTTTCCTCATTTTTCTAATTAAGGCATTAAGATCAATTTCCAAAAGATGATTTTTTTATTCCTCTTTTTAGGCAACTTTAGCATGGGGGTAATAACTTATTCACACCACTGTATATATATATATGTGTGTGTGTGTGTGTGTGTGTGTGTGTGTGTGTGTGTGTGTGTGTGTGTGTGTGTGTGTGTGTGTGTGTGTGTGTGTGTGTGTGTGTATTCTGTGTTTGATGAACAAACACTGACCTGCTGAGCTGTTTTAACAGCAAAAAACTGGTGCTCCCCCTCTGCCCCGCAAACATATCCAAAGGCCCGGTTATCAGTGACATCACGAGCAATGAACGAGATCTTATTCACCACATGTTCATGCTCAATCACCTGAGAGAGAGCGAGAGCGAGATGATATGACAGAGCATGTTATAAAGTCAATAGAGATTATGACATGACAAGGCCAGTAATTAATTTCACACATCAACTTAAGTATCAACAAAACTACTCACCCCAGTTCTCTCATCAACAATTTTGATTCCAGTTAGAGAGATGTTCACCCATATTCTTTGCTTGTGCTTGCCTTGAGAACGAGCAGCTATTGCCATGCCCTGTACACAAACAAAAGCGGAGTACAGTTCCTTCCAACAATAACTGCACCTTTAACAGAATATAATAATATTCTGTCTTCACACTGTGCACCCCCAACCCTGCTACTATTAAATATCATCAGTTTAAAATAAAGCCATAACAATACACCGTAAGATCTGAAGGACTTCAGATCTCTCTCTCATTCATACATATATGAGAGAGTGTGCGAGAGGGCCCCATTTAAGTGAAATTACTGAATTTAAATATACAAGCTTGATAAAAATAATCATTCTAGAAGAAAATTTCAGATGGCACTTAGAGGCTTTTGCATCTGAACTCTTCAGAGAGACACATACACAACAACAGAAATAAAGCCATCTTGAATATGCACCTTTAGTTTCATCATGGAATCCTGACACATTTTATCCCCTCTTGCTTCTGGGACATCATCCACGCCAATAAGCTTGGCTTTATATCTCACTCCATCACCCTGAAACCTGGCGAGCAGAAACTCGTCTGTCTTCTCTGGGACTGTGGAGGAACAGGATAGAGATATATATATATATATATATATATAACACACACACAAAGAGAGAGAGGGAAAAACACATTTGCATGCGTTTGGTGTAGGCAACATCAACCGCATTTATTTATTTTTAAAAAGAAAGGCGGCCAGACTGTACTTTTTCTCCTTTCCCTCCAGAATGAAGTTCTGGTCACGGGTGCAGTGGGTGTTGTTGCAGATGTTGGCTCAGTGGTTGATCCTGGTTCTGCTGGTACCACAGTAATTGGCTCAGCATCAGGTGGTTGCGACATGATGGGTGCTTCGTTACAGGAGAATGGAAGCGAAAGAGGGGACAAAACCAGACCGAGAAGCAAAAAAAAAAAAGGGGGGGGACAGACACAGGTAGGATATTCAGCAAGCACACATTCTCAGCACTGCGCCTGGAACAAGAAAAAAAAAAAAAAAAAAAAAAATTGATCGTTGAGAACATTGAAATGTGATGTGACGAGTATTTATTTTATTCATGACGCTCAGTCACAGGAACAGTTGATTTTTTTGCTTAGTTTTCATTTAACAAGAACCATGTGTCTGTACATGTACAAGCAACTAAATCGTTTTAATTCAGAAGGCATCACATACACATCAAGAAACGTAAAACTCTGCCAACTAATTTAACTTGGGCCACAGATTCTATTAGTGACAGAAAGACAGAGGAAGGAGAGGAAACGGCATAAGCAAAAAAAAAACACTTCCTGCTTAGTAGACAAAAAAAAAAAGGGGGGGGGGGGGGGGGGGGGGGGGGAAGTGCCAAATAAGTTTTCCATTCCTGAAATAAAGGATTTATAGGAAATTGGCACCAAGAAAACAAATTCACAAAGTAATCCCTCACTTCATTTCTATGCCCAATCTCCACATTTTTTACAAATTCCATGATTTAAACATGGGACCAATAAAGTACTTTCAAATCAACAAACCAAAATATGCAACCTTTAGAAACAAAATGGATAATGAAGTAATCATCATGAACTAATTTCAGAGACTAAAGGAAAGGCTGTTCATCTCAACCATAAGATGTAGTCACACTCATACAAGATCCCCCAACAGATGGATAAACAGCTCCACAGATATCAATCAGTTAAAGTGAAAGTGTCTCGTTCAACAAAGGAAAGATAAAAGATGATCAAATGTTCTGAAAGACATACCTTATGAGCAGCCAATAATGTTTAGCTGTGTATTTTTCAGCAGAAAGAGGAAAAAGAAAGCAAGAGAGCAAAGGTGGGCAGACCAAAGGTTGAGTAATTAAATCGGTTAATCCTTTTCCAGCAGCTCATCAGCCCTAAAAACACGTCTCCAATCCCATGATTCTCAAGATCACCCAAATGTTCTCATTTCAGCGCTGGTTTTGGGGCAGAATTACTTTTCCCGGTTTACATTTGAGAAGAAAATCTTTCTGGTGCACTCAGATAATCTGTTCTTTATCTTACATGAATTTGTCATGACCAATATTTAGCACAAGCTTATGAGATTAGATAATCATAATGCAGCAGGAGCCCAAAGCAGTGACAAGATGACAAAATGGAGCAGAAAATATATCAGGGTCCATTCCAATTATGTCCACACAGATTAAAGAAAATTGCCATCATGAAAGCATTAAGGTTTTATAACTAACCCAAAGTTTTATTAGGTCATATGACCATGAGCATCTTTTTGACCTTTACAACAACAGCAAAAAAACAAAACAAAAATACAACTATCATGCCTTAGGGATGAAATACACATACACACTTTAAATGAGAATAAAGAAAAAATAAATTGGCAAATCAAGTACATTTCAAGAGTAATATGACAAAACTATAAACTGATAGAGGAGTAATGTTTTATGACACTAAACAGCTGACAGAGGCAGAGATATGAAAAGTTTATCAGCTGAGTTTTGATTATCAAGAGCGGAAAACAGTGGCAGAATAGCTGTAAAATAATTCTCATTACTGCCTATCCAGGGTCATACAGTGCATAATAGCCTGTAATACAGCAACCATAAAAGAGTGGTAAGCGAAATGAAGATTCTTGTGCAAGATGACACAATCATGAGTGTTTTCTGCTTTACAAGCACCCAAGCAGGTAATCTGCATGCTTTCTCACACAAGCACATAATAAAATGGTGATAAAAAGTTCACTTTTTTTTTTAGCTGTGAAATGCAGGTATAAAAGTTACTTTTAAACAAGGGTTATGAAGGGTAACATAACTCGTTATATTCATACAAATCACAACGCACATACATTGATCAAACATCTCTTACAGCTGATAAGGGGAAAAAAGGGCGCCTAGTTAAAAAAAATATATCATCGCAGCACACTATGAACAATATTAAACAGAACTTTCTTCTGCCTGCCAATTCGTAGATTTTGTTTAGTTTCTCAATTTAAGTCAAATGTCATTGAGAAGTCAAGAGAATTGACACATTGAAGGCCCAGATGCTTCAGAAATTCTGTGATAGCCTGAATGACTGAGAATATTCAGAGACACAATCTTGTGACCATCTACACATTAACCCAGATGAGCCAGGTAAGACACAAGATGGAGGACCAAGTTCAGAAAATTAGGTCTCTGAATTTTTTTTTAATTTTTTTTTTTTTTAGAACTTCCTCCTGACTGTTTTTTGGAACTTCTGAGGTCCATATATCTGAGACTGGGATATTCTTGTGTTAAAAACAGAACACCTTTCAGTGAAATTCCTATAATTTCTTGTTTATACCACGAGGACTGGTCTCATGGCCCTGGCTGTTCAGTAACTTAAATGAACCCAAGTCACAACAGTTAAGTTTCATTAAAACAGAGGATTCAGCAACAGTTAAGGGTGTTCATAAACTGAGGCAAAATTCCCCCTCAGCAGTATCACAAGTATGCAAGTTACCCATTAGCCAATGCACAACATGTCCAATACATTAATAGCCTAATAGCTGTTTAGCACGTAATAAAAATAAAAAGAGGAGGCATAAGCAAATGACACCTATGACATTGGGAAGGCAATTTATAACTTGATTGTAATTATTCCTGGTTGTGACATTCTGTAATCAAAGCACAGATTTTTCAAGGCTTGCTAGGCTACACTAATATGTATTATAATAATTATTTGTATCATTTACGTTGTAGACTACAAAAATGTAGCACATAATTCAGTTTTTTTTTTTTTTTTTTAAACCAAGTCACTTGTTAAAAATATAAAAAGTTGACGCTCTTAAATGACACGTGGTCAAATTCAAAATCATCTGTAATCATGTCAAGTAATTAAATTTTTTTTTTAAAATAACATTCTCATTGAAACGTTTCCATTATAATGCCATCAAGTTAAATACCAACACATGCCGAACTGACAGTCAACTATCAAAACGCCACAGGTAGGCTAACATTAGAGGATGCCGCGCTAGATCATTTGTAACTCACCGCAATGATGCATTCTTGAACTCCACACCTAAAAAAACTGATAACAAACTCAAATTAATGCTGATGAGCGCCGTGGAAAGTTTGAATGAGTGTAAAACCCAAACCACTCTTACTCCAAACAGGCGGTCCTCCTCCTCAAACTGCTCGCTCGCTACCGAGTGCCACACTGGCGGAGACTTGAGCGCCTCCCACAGGTACCGCGCACCTTATCTTGACCTTTATAACAATGCTAATACCACTGATTGATTAACCTTGGATTGAACACTGTTTTTAAATTAATAAGGCAATCTCTCTCTTGAACGATTTATTAAAATGACAGTTTACATAGGCCTGCATTTAGCCTACATAGAAATGTGCAGATTTCCTTTGCATTAAGCCATGGAAATTATGAAAGTCAGTAAAGAAATGTAGCTCTCTGTTCGTTCATTCTTCCTTCCTCACTACCCTTCCTCTGCGGACACTGCTGACATACAGTATAAGAGCTTGCCAAACGGAGAAAGGGTTTAAAAGAGATGAGAAAACTAACAAAGGTCAATGCAGTCTCTTTTTTCTCTTGTTTAAAGGAATTGTGTTGGCTATAAACAAAACTACACTAATGAAACGGCTATCAGTTATATCAGGGCAACACGTCCTGGTGGACTTGATGGACAAGACAACTGAGGACTTTCAGCTCAATGTGCCATATATTAACAACCATGGCATTTATTTGTCTGTTTTATTACTGATATGTGAATCTTTTAAAGGGGAATAATGATTATTTAGGGCATATCACTCAAACATTTGAGCATGTGCGGTGTGACTGATGTCATCATTCAGGAATCATTGGCATGTTTGATTTATCATTTGAGATTTTCTTTGTTTTCTATAAAACTTATTTGGCTGGCAATATCGGTTGTAAGAGTTGTCCACAAGAGTTGGTGTATGGTATGTGTCAAAGATTTCACTTACTCAGCTTCCTGGAGGGAAGAACAGAAGGCTGCTTTTCCATACAGATTTTAGTTTTTGCATTGTCTAGGGATAAGAAATTACCAAAATCTATTTACTAAATTATGACAGCTATCTGAATGTAAAGTTTGCCTCAGAAATGAACTAAGCCATGCTTTCCTACAAGCTATTTGCATATGAAGTATTAAACTAAAAAGATCATTCTGATCATTTTAAATAATTATAATAATAATAATGTTTTAGGATTGAATAATAGTTGGATTTAGAAAAAAAGAATATTATGATTTTAGATTATCTGACAAAGTATTACAGATCTATGTTTTAGTGTAGTTTTTATACAAACGTCCTTCACCAATCATCCCCCAGATGTGCTGAAGAACTGAGTGAAGTCTGAAGTTTTTGAGTTGCAATTGGACTAATCTTCCAGTAATAGTGCCCCAAAAAACAGGAAAAGAGGAGAAGAGTGCAGTTCATGTCCGATCCACCTTCCTGAGTGAGCCGAGGGGAAGCGTCTGAAACATTAAAAAGTGGTGTTCTCAGCACTAGTTGTGGACAGGATCTATGTTCACTTTGACAGGCCAAAGTTCCTCTTTGACCCTGCACAAAGACACCATCGCTGTATTGTTTTGTGGCATGGTTGAATTTGATGAGTGGAGAAGGCAGCTGACTTAGCACAGATGAAGAGCAGGTTGCTGATAGGTCACTTTAAAAAAAATGGGAATCTACACTTGTTTATTATACACCATGACCGTGCACCATCAAATAATTTATATGAAAGATTTCAAATAGAAGTAATAATAATTGATCTTATCACACGCAGATCCTTTTACGGGATTGTGCATTAAAGGGATAGTTCACCCAAAAATTTAAATAACCCCATGATTTACAAACCCTCAAGTTATCCTAGGTGTATGACATTCTTCTTTCAGACGAATACAATCTGAGTTTTATTAAAAAATCATTTTCATTTCATTTTTTGGTGAACTTTCTCTTTAAGATTAACTTCTTCTTTTTTTTTAAACACAAACAAACAAACACCATTCTCTAAAGCATGTAATCAGTAAAAACCTCTGGACTTCTGATATGTCAATAGTATTTGTTTGAGATTTCAACATGTTTGTGAAATCAAGGCTATCGTGTTCAGAAAAACTTAGTTTAAACTAAAGTGAGAAAACATAGGAATCACTTAACTAGTTTTATGTTTTGTAGAATTTGTTGTATTTTCTAAAATAAATACAATATGAAATATATAAAAGAAATAAAAGAAATAGAATGTACTCAAGGACTGGGTAACATTAAAATATTTTATTTGGAGATTTATTTGCACATTCCTCATCTGTATAAAAATATAAAAATACTCTTACTGTTGTTTAATATTATACAGAATGCTAAAGCATTTAAAAGAAGACTAGAATATTCTATAAGAAAATATAGATTCTGGGACGTACAAAAACTCAGGTAAAAAGCAACTAAATACATTAGTCGGATAGTTTAACATTAGACAGTTGCGGTAAATGCTGTGGCGTCACATGATTTAAGATATCTGGGAAAGCACAGTGATATACACAAACCTTTTGGAGACACACATTTCTTCTACTCTAAAAAGCTTAATTATTAACATTAAATCAATGCTTAAATACAAGTGTACACATTTCAACACACAATCAAAGGACTGTCCAAAGCTTCACCATGAAGGCTTTAGCTGCTTTATGTGTAACTATTTGCCTTTTTTATCAGGCTAATGGAAAGAGCATAACAGACCACATGTAAGTATGCACAATTTCATCAAAATTGTTAGATGTGGAAAAGTTTGTACCTTTTTGTTTATTTTTTTTGTGTATACCCAAAGTTATGCACTAGAATGGAGTTGGAATTGTAAGTTATTATTATAACGGTGATCATTATTTGTCTTTCTCAAAGGCGAGGGCCCAGACGGGAGGTGCGGGAAATTAATCATCCTGCATCAATCGACTGCAAAATGAGTGCCTGGTCCCTGTGGACATCCTGTGACCCGTGCACTAATACCACGGTACTGGAGTATCTCTTCTTCTCTACACTTTCTCTATAAATAATGTTGTTCAAATTGTCATCTGAAATCATTCTGAATTAATAATGTTTTGAAGAAATGTGTAGCCTTCACATGTGCTTGTGTAACACAGCATCGCTCTAGGGGCATTGAGGTCTTTGGGCAGTTTAAAGGCTCTAGGTGCATATACCCAATTGGAGAACGGAGACCCTGTAAACCTTCTACCAAATGTCAGATGGACCCTCCACCCGTCTGCAAAAGCTCTCAATGGCAGTGCGCTTCAGGTCAGTATTTTTTTTGTCTGCATTTTGTTTTTCGGTAGGTGTTTAGTTGTAGGGTAAATTGCTACGCAATATTCAGCATTAAGTATATTACTTTACCCTCAGGAATATGTATAAACAAAAATCTCAAGTGTAATGGGGATAACGACTGTGGAGAGACAGATACGTCTGATGAAGACGAGTGTGACGTCATCAGGACACCTTGCGGCAGGACAGCCGTATTTGAGTCTGACATAGCCATCCAAGCTGGATACGGGTCAGAGCCTTTTGTAACTTACACAAATGTTAATAATGTACACACCTATTCAAAAGTCGGTCACATTTTATTTTAAAAGAAATTAAGACTTTTATTCAGCAATAATGCATTACATTGATCAAAATGACCGTAAAGACATTCGTAATGTTACAAAAGATTTCTATTTCAAATAAATGCTGTACTTTATCATTTTCATCAAAGCATCCTTAAAATTTTTTAAAAAATAATAATAGAAAATGTTTCTTGAACACCAACTCAGCATATTAGAATGATTTCTGAAAGATCATGTGACACAGAAGTCTGGAGTCTGCTTAAAATTCAGCTTTACCATCACAGGAATATGTATGTACTATATATGTATATCTAGTTCTTTAGTTCAGTCATAGGGTGCAGGCTGATAGGTAAATTTACATTAAATCTTCAAGCAATCACATCATTACTGCATGGCACAAGCTGATTGGCCTCTGATGATCCTGCAGCCAATGAGATTGCTTGCTCAACAATTAGTCTTGCAGCACGCTATCATATTCCTCTGAAACCCTCCCCTAGCTCCACCTGCCTAGATGTGCTATGGCAGAGGTGTTTAACCCAACTCCTAGGCACCCACTTTCCTGCAAAGTTTATTTCCAACCTTCTTCAGCACACCTGCATGTGAAAAGCTGAAGAGCTCAATTTGCTGCTTCAGGGGCACATAATTATGTGCTGATGCAGGGGGGCCTTTCATTGTGTAAGATGTTTCTGACAGGAACTGTCAGGACAGTGCTGCATGGTCATGAAATTGTATCATTTTCACACGTTTTTAAGCCTTGCCAATTTAAACATTCAAGCGCAAGACGACGTTAAAGAGAACTTACGAAAAAGAGAAGTTTTGTGTGCGCGCACAGAAAGCTGCGTGTCTCAGACAACATGCAAATAAGAACAGGAGTTCTCTTTCACATCTCCTTCCTCTTAAACGGACAAATTCACACAAATTGAGTATCGAAAAATCGAGTATCTTATGCCGAGTTCACACTGCACGATTTTCAAAGTAGTCGGGTCACTGTTCTTTTCACACAGCACGACTATCTGGGGTAACATTCAGTTGCTGGTTTGTGCACACTGCACGATGGATCGGCGACAGGGGGTTTCACACTACATGACTTTACAAAAGAAAGAATCGCCGACAACTTCTGTCTGGTCCGCAGACTACGTTTCACAACCAAACACAGGCGAGAAATGATAAGGAAATAACGCAAGATTACGCGTGCGTGAGATCGGAGTTCTTGCGCGATACTGAAATTGTTATTAAAAATGATAGCCTGCAAGAAGATTGCGATCCAAATTGTCTGTGCGCTGATTTGCAGCGAAAAGGAAAAAAAAAAACTTTGCAGGAGATTATGCAGGAGGAAATGGTTGGGGAGACGCGGGGAAGCAAGGACTGTGTTTCTGCAAAGAGAGTTGGGGGTAAATAAATAATTTTGCAATGTGCTGCTGTTGCTGCTAGTCAAGCAAATGTTTGTACTTTGTTTCTGTTTGATATAATTGTAAATATATGTATTAAAATACTGATATTCTGTACTTCATCAGACGTAACCCCGAACATCCAGCTGTCCTGTATCTTGCTCTCTCATTGGCTGTAGGTCATCGGCAATGCAGTTTTCAGTCAGAACACATTCACACAGCAGGATTTTGAATCGCCGACAGGTCCAGATATTTAGCATGCCAAATATCTCGCGGGCGGTGGCGACCCGTTGGCGATTCTCTCAGATCGCGTCTTTGATCATTCACACTGCGTGATTGTCTCTCACATGAACGAACACCGAGTTGTCTATGATTTCGGCCATTTGTCGGCGATCTCACAAAACCTGTCGGCGAGCGAAAATCGGGCCTAAAATCGTTCAGTGTGAACTCTGCATTAGTAAGCATAGTCAGTTATGTCTGAAGTAAACATAAACAGTTGAGAAAGACAACGCATGTGAAACAGTATTTTGTATCCGTGCATTAGTCTTAAAATGACAGCAGCATAATAAACTACTGTTAGACCTACCTGAAAAACATGAAAAGCACTGATTATTTAATTTGAATCTTAGTTCTATTGTATTTATTTATTTGTGCAATTGTTTGTAGTTTGATTATTTGTTCTTTTTTTATTAATGATTGTTTACTTGTCTTTAATAATGTTCGAAATGTATATTAGAAGTTTTAGCAGTGGTATTAAAATTGGAATCGAGAATTGTGAAATTTCACCTTTTTAATTACAATAAACAATTTACAAAAAACAACTAAATCTATATTATTTATTTATTACTTTTTTGTGGTGATGGGGCCAGTGAAAATTATTCACTGAATCGAATCGAAAATCAAGAATCTAATCTTTAATTCTTCTCTTAACAGAATAAATATTCTGGGATCTGGACCTCGGATGAATCCCTTTAATAACAGATTATATAATGGCCTATGTAACCGGATCAGAGATCCATCTACATTGGAATATAACAGACTACCCTGGAATGTTGGAGTTCTCAACTATGAGGTGGGTCTCTCAGTTTACTGTATACATGATGTCAACTGTTGTTTTACAAAGGTTTTGGGTATTTATTGAGAGCAAAACTGAAAGAAAGAAAAAAATCTCCTAAAAATGACTGCAAGACAAACAAACCGACAAGTAAAAGCACTTAAATTCTGACAGACACACATCTTAAAAATACAATTTTTAGTCTTGACCCATGTCTCTTTATCTTCAGACAAAAGTGGAAGAGAGCAGCTCCAAAGAGATGTACGAGGACGTTCACTCGTTAATAAAAGAGATAACTAGAGAATCATCCAGTTCTGTTGAAGTGGGCTTAAGCTTTAAGTTTTCACCTACTGAGCCCTCCAGTGCTGGTGCAGGCAGTGATGCTGGCAGTGCTGGTGAGGGTGGAGATGTTGCCAGCCCCGGTGAGGCTGGTGAAGCTGCTAGTCCCAGTGAGGATGGTGAAGCCGAAGGTCCTGGTGTGGGCGGTGATGCTGAAGGTCCTGGTGATGGCGGTGAAGTCGAAGGTCCTGGTGATGGCGGTGATGCTACCATGCCTGGTGGGGGCCAAAATGCTGGTCCTGGCATGGGTTTTAGTGCATCAGCAGGAATTGACACTAAGCAAGAAAAAAAAAATATCATCAAACAGCTGTCAGAAATAACATCGACCAAGGTGAGTGAAATTCAGGTTTATTCATTTTATTGCTTTCTTGAGCAACTATATCTTACCCATTTGAACTTTATGTATTGTAATTCACATCTATAACTCCTCATAAACCACCATGTTCATGGAACAGACTAAAATTCAAAACTGAACAACAACAAAAGAAAATATTCACAATAAATAGACATTGTTTTATGTAGAGTATGGAAAGAAATAATAAAGACTACCTTCTCAAATCTGCAACATCTGTGTTGCTTCTACTACTAGCACGTGTTCTCTTTCAGAGAAAGACCTTCATGAGAGTGAAAGGCAGAGTGGAGCTGGCCACCTACAGGATGAGACAGCGAGGGCTGGAGGTATCCTCAACGTTCTTGGATGATGTGGATGGCCTGCCACTTACATATGAGAAGGGACAGTATTTTGCCTTCTTGGAGGACTATGGAACACACTTCACCAAGAACGGAAAGTCCGGTGGAGAATATGAGCTTGTTTACATAATGAATGAGGATATCCTCAAACTAAAAGGTGGGTTTAAAATCACATTTCAAGTTTTTTGTAAAGCCTGGAGACCTTGGGGCAACATCACAACATGTTATTGCAATTCCAAAAGATATTCAAAGATACTGTATGACATGACACTCATTAATGTAAATGCGTTAATGGGTAGGATAGTTTTTCAGGCTGAAAGCCTCATTAAAGGATTATGACTTGACTTTATTTGATGGTTCAACTCTAACTACAGAGGTCACTGAATCCACGGTCAAGGACTGTTTCGAAGTTGGAATTAGAGCCAATGTACAGCTTTCCCAATTAGGAGAGGGAGGAGGACACATTAAACCAGTAAACAAGTGTGATACTCTAACAGACAAACCCACAGGTGTGTATCTGTGTATACATTCATTTTAATAGTAAGATATTAAAGGAATAGTTCACTCAAAATGAACACAAAAAATAAGATATTTTGTCCATACATTAAAAGTTAGTTGGGACGAGAGTTGTTTTTGTAACCAAAAACAGTTCTTCAAAATATCTTATTTTGTGTTACATGGGGGACAGAACAGGAGGGTGAACAAATGATGACAGAATTTTCATTTTTGGGTGAACTTTCCCTTTAAATCCAACAGACACATGCCTTCTGATAAAAACATAATTTGCTTACAACCTTGTTCACCAGATGACAAGAACAAAAGGGGGGTTATTGATAAGGTGCTGATCGTAGTGAGAGGGGGCAGTCCAGCGTCAGCAGTAGCCATGAAGTCTCAACTCACTAAAGATGGCATTCTAGACTATAGTCAATATGTGGAATGGGCAAAGACCGTCTCTGCTCTACCTGCTCTCATTCACAGTGACGTGAGACACTTCACCTTCATTTTACAATTGAAAGTGCATGCGTGGTAACTGCTGTAATTGGAACACAATTTTCATTGTTCCGGCAGCCTGAACCCATCTACAATGCGATCCCTTTGGACTTTCCTGATGCTCAGCCGAGGCGGGACAATCTCAGAAGAGCCCTTGATGACTACATGGCCGAGTACAGCGTGTGTAAGTGCCAGCCGTGCCAGAATGGTGGCACTGTGATCCAGATAGACGGGGAGTGTAAATGCATGTGCTCACCAGGGACTGAAGGTGTCGCGTGTCAGATCGTTGACATGGAAATGGTGAAAGGTGCGTGTTTCTGTGTGCAACGGCCTGTAAAATTATAGCTACCCTTCATTTCTGTACGTTGCTTTGAGTTGAGCGTTCCGTCTGTCTCTATTCACTCATTTAGGAAAGTCTTTTGAACACCTGGGGAACTGGGGCTGCTGGTCTTCCTGGTCCCACTGCTCCGGAGGGCGTCGCAAACGGACCCGCACCTGCAATACTCGAGGTGTACCAACCGGAATCTGCAGAGGAGATACAACCAGTGAAGACTACTGCTAAGAATCACAGAGTCACAAATAATCACGGAATATTAAAAATGCTGTGTACCAAATAAGAAAATAAACTGGTTTGATTACATGTACTTTTAGATATTACTCTCATTATGGCATTGAAACACGCATTTTTGACAACACTGCCGGCTTGTGGTCAAAATAGGTAGTGCATCCCAAATAGTTTGCATTGCGTGATTACACGAACAGCAAGCTTTCCCCATCACTGTCCTATCACGGAGGTAATGGCATCACAAAATGATCCCATGGTACTTCTGAAAATAATTTACCAATGTAGGTAAAAAATGCCAGTTAGATTTAGAAACAAATCTAAAATTCTAAAAATGTTTCCGTGAACAAGACTTATGCATCCTAGATCACATTGTTGCCAACCAGACATTAATTTAGAGATTTGACTAATCCGCTAATACACATTTTTATGAACTACCATCCCCATTTTCTATTTATTTAGTTATTTTTATATGATTTGCCTACATTATATTTTAGTTCAATGCTCATGTCAGCATCATGCTGAAACAGAAACAAAAATAAAAATAGATCAAAAACATGTTTTATTTTAATATATAGGCTAGTTTATAAATACAATCAAACTAAAACATGATCTATTTTTGTTTCTGATCTATTTCTATTTTTGTATTTTTTACAAGACCTAGTGTTTTGGGCCACACAAAGAAGGAATGAATGTATGAGGAATAGATGTGATGTTGAGGTAGATGGCTCACTTTTCACTCTTCTTGGGCCTCTAGAGGTCAGGTTAATAGAGTAGCACTCTTAACTCTTTATTGAGCCTCTGAGAAGCTCCTTTCAGCTTCAATACCCTTCAAGAGTCAACTTGTGGCGGCAATGGCTTTGGACTGAGACCCCATCTAAAAACAACACTCCAAACCAAGAACAAAAAAAAATTAGAGTGCACACAGGGGCAATTACAAAGAAATAAAGCAATATTCCAAGACACTTGGACTTTTCAAGTATTCTAACACTGAATAATATCGAGCCATTTTTTCTTAGAGAAAAGGAAAATAGGCCTATCTCAAAGCAATGAACTGAAAGGTGCACCTCCTGCTCCACCCCCAAAGAAAAAAATTAAACGTCCCAGTGCAGTCCGATTCTGACTTCCATGAGGTCATGGCATCCATTGAAGTTTCTAAGAGCCGTCACGCCACATTACCTTTCCCATCTGTCTCGGCACCGTGAAAATTAAGTTATGCCCCATGTCAGCACAGTTTTGTTTCTCTTCTCTCACTCTTTTCACTGCTCTTCGTCCCCTTGATGGAAGAAAAACTGGACATAGAAAATGCAATCAAGTCATATGCGCTCATGCAGTCCAGCTCACTATTGCAGACTAAAGTATGCTGATGATGTGGAGGGGGTCCTCAGTTTGTCCATGTAGGGTCATTCAGAAAAGGTCCTTTACTGCCTGCCCTTCCCCCAAATTCCTTCTTTTAACAACCCCTTAAAAAACCAACCCCCTCTTCCCATCCACTGACAACTGAACCTCACCCCTCTCCCGCATTCCCCGCTCCATTTTTTTTTTTCATGTTTGGTAAGTATATGCCCCAGTCAACAGATAAAATGTGCTAGGGGAAACGTTTCCACAAAGAGAAACTGCTCCTTTAATTGCTTATGTAAAATCATGATATAGATGAACTGTTTTCAGTTGAAAGGAAAGTTGTGAATTTTTATTGCATGCTGAATCTGACATCAAAGCAAACTCCAGCTATTCACACAAGATACACAAGAACTTTTAAGAATGTTGGAAACGGAATTGGTAACATTTTCTTTCGCTTCTCTTACACTCAAATCAGTGGACATAACTGGATTATGCAGTGTTGTCACTTTTAAAAGGGGACTGTTCTCAAGAAAAACTGAATGTGACAGGTTCAACGCAGCATGTCTGATCTGAGAAACAGCTCTCCTTTTACTAAGTCCCAGTGGGGCCCTTCACCTGACGGGGATAAATAGTCAGTTCACCTCAACTTGTTACTTCTAACTGAGAGAAAACAACAAGCAGAAAAGTTTAGTTAGTCAGTATGCAGTCTTTTGAAATACTTTCAACATGAAACCTGCAGAAAAAATTTGTAAAAAAAAATCTAGCATTTCGAGATTAAAGTCGAAATATTTCGAGATTAAAGTCTTTTAAAGTCTTAGATTAAAGGTGTAGTGTGTATTTTTTAGCGACATCTAGCGGATCGGTTGCGAGTTGCACTAATGGCTCAGCCCACTGCTCACCCCTCCCTTTCGAAGAAGCTACGGTGGCTAAAACGGGACAAACATATCGTCATCTGAGACAGCAGAGAATAGCCAGAGTAAGCCAAGAGTGTGTAACATTGTCACTGTTTCTGTACCACAGTCCATTATAAACCACATCATGGATAAAGTTTACAAAGCCATAGTCAGGTGAGGATCAAGGGTCTTAATATATATAATAATAGTAATCAGCTGATTGTCTCACAAACGTAACCAGCACATTTCTCCCCACATAGCAAACCCATAATACAGCGAGGGAGAAGAACCACATGAAACTATGCAACTGTATATTTTTTCTAACAGGGTAGTAAAAGTTTAGCTGGCTAATATGATACGCGTCATGCGCCCGCATGAGCCCAAAGGTGCTCGCGCGCGCCTCTGCATCCCCTAGACACCATTTACTACACACAATAGGCTTTTTTTTCCTCTGATTTTGAAAACTCTTCGCGATCGACTTAAAATGCTTCCAAGATCGACTTGTCGACCGCGATCGACGGGTTGGGGATTCCTGTAACGTTACTGTTTTACGGTCAACGACAAGAGTACTGTCAGCCGTCTCACGAACTTAACCAGCACATTTATCCCAACATAGCAAAGCCATAACACAGCGAGGGAGAATAATTAAGTTACATGAAACAATCCAACTACATATTTTACACCACTGACTAGGGAAAAGTCACTACTCACGGTGTCTATGGCTAGCTTCTAGCTTTCTGCTGCTTCTCTTTCAAGGTAGTGACGAAACGCGCTCTGTAGCGCTGCCCGCGGTTATGTAGATATAAATGTCTCATTCTAAGGTAATAAAAACATTACGGTTTATTAAGTAAGTTCTTTATACACCACTGAAAACATAGTTATGGATGTCATATTGCATTCCTGTTAAGAGATACACAAAATTTTTACACATTGCACCTTTAAAGATTTTTTTTTTTTTACGTTTACGTTTACGTTATGTTCAGGGCTTCTGTAATACCATATAGCCTATGTCATTGTTGCTTATACTCTATTAGAGAAACTACAATCCATAAATACATTTTTCTGACAAGGTTTTACATCACAAAAATATTAAATCCCAATTTTTTTCTAAACAAAAATGTTACATTTCTTAGCAAAAATACTGTTTATTTATGCAAAATATTTACTCTCTCCAAAATAATATATTTACAATTTAACTTTTTCTAGTACAATGGATTGCTAACTATTTATTTGCAAATAAACTGTAGAAACTATTAAGTATATAAGGTGTGTCCGAATTTGCATACTTGTCCACTATTCTATCCCATTAGTATAAATAGTGTGAGTAGTGCGTTCACACTGAAAATTCCAAATAGAAAAAGTGTACTTTAAATACCCAGATGATGCACTCAATTACCTGAAAAAACGAAGTGTGGAATGTTGGACACTTCGTGTAGGCTACTCAATTGTTGCAGCTTTAATTACATTGCGTAGCAGGAGGAGCAATCAGACACTGATGTTGAATCAATGACAAAATAACCGTATAACATTCATACACTACAGGGTTGAGTACATGCATAAGTGCATAGTGTATCATTTGGGACACAGTTTTTAAAAAAGTAACCTCCTCCACTTCTCCATTTAAGCCAGATTAACATAATTTACATTGTACTATCTCCTCCTTCTGCTCTCTCAAGAATGTTCAATCTGCTCTTTCTAGAGGTGTCAGCTAGAAGACAGAATGAAGTGCCTGGTCATTGTGTGCTGCCTCTATTGTGTGTTTAGTATTAGCATGACAGAGGTGCCACTCGACTTCTCCTTCATTCATTAATTCTGAGGAGCCTGTCCCGCATCTGCCTCGAAATGAAGCGTCACAGCTACCATCTTGGATCTCTAGAAGTCTTATAACATAAGCATAAAAATTCACCATTTTCCCAATGATTCATTTCTGTGAGAGTCTGATATTTTAAGTGTTGGGTATATTATATATTATGGGATAATACCTTTCTGCTCTTTTGTATTTGGAATGCTAACAATATCAAGCTGTATTGTTGTATTAAACTTCACAGAACAAAAAGGCATTTGGAATCCAAGGGGGGATTTGTACTATAAGTGCTACTCACTGAGAAGCAAACTCTTTTAAGCAATGACAAGCCCACTTAAACAAACACACACAGTAGCAGACCGAGTGTGTTTGTGATGGCTACTTGAGGCTTCATTCTCTCGAACACCGCTTTTTTACTTGTCAGCCTGAGTGAAGACTTTAAATAAACACTCAAGCTTTGTCCAAATAAGCCAGTTGAGGCCTTACTTGGTTCATGTTCAACTCTGATCCCATTCAAAGACAATCTCATTTGTTTCCTTAGATGTTGAGAGTCTCTGGGAACTTAGACTAACTCCCTCTGTAAACATTTATGTTTACAAGTTCAAGTGCAGGAACAGACAGAGCCCAAATGTTTTACTAGCAGATTATTGGTAACATTTATGCACTGGAATGGGTATCAGGTGGAAATCTAAGTTTTTTTTATGACAGCCCAAGAACAATATTGACTTAATTGGAAAAAAAAAACAAGCGTTTTATGACAAGCTTTGCACTATTCTTCTTTAAGAGTACATAAAAAGTCTACAACATGAATTATGTACAATTTAATTATGATCAATCTGCTCACAGACTTGCTCAAATCTCAAAAAAATAAAATCTAGACGTGTGATGTTTAATGCTCATTTTACAAGCATATATTCTAAATGGTAAGTTAAAATTTAATCTGCTCTCAGTAGAAAGTATAAAAACATACTTTACTTATCCATATCTGCATGATGGGCATGAAGACTAGTTGAGCTGTTGCACAACTGATAAATAAAACAATCATTAAAATCTAGTTGCAGACAGGAAATGTTATTAAACTATATTTAAGTTAAGTATGTGCAATTATTTTACAGGTATTTAAGCTGTTTTAACAAAAATATACAGCACTTGTTTTGGTTTGTATAGTGAAATAACCAGACACAAAAAAGGTCAAATGGTTTTATAATAATTTGGAGCCAATCTTTATGAACATTATAAACAGTAGCCTAGCTATTACATGGTATTATTTATCAACATTATTCACACAATTATAAGATACAAAAACATATGCATTTACAATAATCAAGTTGTTCGTCTACAATTTACACTAACCAATCTTTCATACAAAAATAAACTTTCAGTATTAATTTTTTTTTTTATCTCTTTGAATATAAGTTTTCACAATAGTTCATAATAACTTAATATATGGGAGCACATATTTCCAACATATTTTCTTGACATCAAAAACAACTTTTCATGGTGTGCAGATTTTGGTAGCTCATCTAGGTTTTGGAACAACCTTTAACTATGGGATTCTGGTTTTCTTCTTCGACTCAACTCGGCTTTATTATAGCACCACTAAAAACAACAATTGTTGACCAATGTGCTGTACGCTATATTCTTCCACAGCATTTCTGCCTTTTAAAAAATTGGTCTATTGTCTCGTGTAGGCTACCTGTACAATATAAGCACCTAACCAAATGCAAATATAGGTGCGAATGAATCGATTACTTTCATAGGGTCTACTTTTCTGCCAGTAGGCAAAACCGTTTTCGATATGAGACTCGTCTCGTACAACGCAAATGTCTTGTGGTGCCACCGCACAGAAGACATTTTGAACAAAACACAATTGGTCTAGTCATATTTTTGTATGTAAACCAACAATAAAGTGATAAGTTAAAGGCTACATGTTTCAAAGAGGGGAACCTCCCTTGGATTTCCATAGAGAATGCGATTTCGTTTAGTTTGCTGGGCCCCAATTCGTGTGTCCTGGCGCAGGGCCTGGAGCGAAAAAAAACGACTTTGCGAGGGTTTTGACAACATATATCAACCCCCCTGACTTATCTTAATAAAATAAAAAAAGTGTTAAAATGGTGGACACCACAATCGAAAACTGTTGTGCTCTTAATTCCCAGGCATCACTCTCTTCGTCCTCGTAATCCGTCTCGTAGTCGTCCTCCAGGTCGTCCTCGGTATCTGAAAAACCACTACCGCCATATCTGTCGGTAAAGCAGAAGTTTTTCATGCTGACTTTGACATACTCGCATATGGCCCTTTCTGTGCCGTCGCACACGCAAGTGTCCAGGAGCTGGGCTTTGGGAATGGAGCGCATGTTCGTGATGACCCGCCGGCAATCGTCCGAGCAGCGCTCTCCTCCGAACAGTTTCCTGCAGTGATACAGATAGTCCCTCATGGCCGTGCTGCACTCGGGATCCATCTCGCACTGCTTACGGGCTTCGGTGCAGCCCATGTGGCTGGTTCTGGGCATACAGGGCTCGATGGCTCGCTTGGTCATCTTGCATAAAGTGTCCGAGGAGCATTCGCAGTCCTCCAGTGCCGGGCCGTTCACAGTAAGGTTGAGCTGAATGATGGAAGAAATGCAGTGGCTAGGACATTTCTTCCTATTCCCGTTTATCACCGGACCGCACGCGTGTAGATACTGAGTATACGCGTAGTGGCACTCCGGTTCTCCTTGGCACTTCATGATGGCCTGCCAGCATATCAAACGCTGGTTGTGTGCTGGTGAGGCGGTGGATAAACGACTAAAAAATATCAACGCACAGCCGATGGACAAAATCAATATCTGCAGGCGTAGAGTGACTGCTGGGTTTCCAGACTGTGCCATTCCTTGATGTGCCCACATGCAACAGCTTAAAAGTTAACTTATTGGGTCAAGGGTTTCCATTTGTTGTTCCATAATCCATATGTTTATCTGTTCTTACCAGAGATTGAGACGAACAACTCGCCTTGTTCCATGCCCGCCGTCGTCAAGCCGCGTTTTGTTGACCACTTTAGTTAAGTGTGCTCATATTTGTTCCTTCACTATCCACAGAAACATGCATCGAAATTTATCCATGGACAAAACTCCAAATGGTTGGAACGAATCACATTTGCTCACTGCCGCGAGAGCAAAACGCGCAGCAACATCTTGATGCGCGTCGACTCGTTTTCTCGCTGCTCTTGGTTGAAGTAATCCAGCGATAAATCAACGCTTTGTTCAAATAACAAATCTGGAAAAAAGTTCACTCTGAGAAGTCTTGGAATTATCTGTTCAGTTACCCAGACCCAGACTTAGCCAATGCATGCAGCACACTATTGGTCCGATCAGTTGTTGTGGTTTCTGACGTCATTTGAGGGTGGAGGTCTGAAGGTCGAGAATGTGGAGAGGGTGCGGGTTGTAATTTCACTTGATAAAGCATCAGTCCCTGTCCTTGACACAGTGCTAGAATATTTTGGCTGTCACAGTGCATTGCACATCTCATCCGATGTCTCTGCCCAAACCTCACCCAAACAGCACTTATATATTCAGTTCTAATTGTGAGCAATTATTATTTTAACTTGTAGCTAGACAGACCTCAGCATGTCTTAAGAAGTGTTTTAATATTAGTCCTATCCATAAAGTAGCAGATTAACCTGCTCTAGAGAGAAAAAAGGAAAGGGACAACTTTTGAATATAAGATTAATACTACAAAACACCATTATCATTTAATACCATTACCAATATGTATTAATACCAATATGTTATTTTGTTTGATTTAAAATAGAATACCTTATAATACTTTGGTTTCTCCTGGAAATATTTTGATCCATTTCTCACAAAGAAGGAAATTGAAATTTTCCAGGTAAAATGATCAGGTCAAGTTTGTTTTGAATGTCCATTATTTAAGAAAACATCAAACCAAAGATTCTAAAGAAAATAACAGAGATTTCACAGACAGGTTTTCGTGTTCTTATATTTTACATGGTTTCATTTTACATTGGTTTGTGACTCTTCAAGTCTCATGTTTACACACAATCCATAATGAATTTAACAGGCAGCATTTTGCTGACAGTTGTTTATTTTGCTATAGGAGAATTACCATTACAAACACTTGTAGACAGTTCAAGGTGTTTTACGTGACAACTTCCCCTGAACAGTCCATTTGGTCTGCAATAAGGGTCAGGGTTGCATGAACAATCCTTTGATCCTTTCTGGTTGGTTTGGAGCAAAATAGCAGCTGTTACAAGTTAAAGTACAACTTTTTTTCTTCTGTTCTCACACCCAAACTTCCCCATCCTCAACAGCATTATACAAAAGGCCTGGTTTGAAAATGTTCAACATCCAAATAGTAGCAGGTTTGCATTTCGAGAAGTTTAATGAGATGAATATGTTATATACTAAATTTACTGCCTAGCTCATGTATACATTTTATGTAAAAACTCCTGTGCTTTCCATCTCTAAATGACTGATTATGATCATCACTTGGCCTAGATCTGCAGAAAGAGAAGGAGCAGTTTTTGGAGAACAGAGCGGACTGTGTTATCCATGCTACATTGACCCTATCACACTTCTGCACTCAAACCACAAAGCTTGGGCAGCTGGCCAAAAATGTCCCCTAACCCTATACCCCACCTTTCAGCATTTTCTCCTTTTCCCAATTAGAGAGATTAGATGGCCTATTTGGGACGAAAAGGAGCAAACAGTCTCGTGCAAATTCTCTGACATTCCACTGTAAAACTGTAATACAGAACATCCATTTCTCACAAGCATGTTTTTGTCGAAGTGAAGAAATGAACTGATGACAAATAGCTATACCGTGAGATTCACAATGCTGTTTTGAACGGGTAATGAGAAAAGTGCTGTAGTTTTGCTGTCTAATATGTATTTATTCAGATGGATATATTTTAAATAATAAATAATCACATCACTAAAATCCCAAAACTATAACACAACAAGCAATTTACCTGCTTACCCAACACAGTGAGAAAACAGAATATGAGCCCTGTACATTTTCATTCGCACACAGAGAACTCCGAGCAACTCCAGAGTTCAAGGCTTCACTCCTCACAAAGGATGAAATTGTTCGATCTGGTGAGACTATTACTGCAAGATGTTGGCATTTCCTTTTCTTATAGAGAGAACTGCTGTGAAATGTATTCAGAATCTCTCTGAGGAGTCGGTTGTTCCCTCTTGCCAAGCTGTCAGACCTGTTTATCGTTATTTGCTGTAAAGTAGCCCAGGCTTTGCGATCAAGGGAAAACCTAAAAAAAAAAAACTTTCAGTGGAAAAACCTGGATCAGAGATTTGTCTAATTATTTGTATAATTTGAGTTCTAGAAAAGTTTTAGCTCTTTTAATACACGCATGCTGCTGGAATCCAGTGTGAATCATGTCAGTGTTGGACGCAGACCAGAAATGAAGCGAGCCAAATTTTCTCTAGCTCGGATGAATTCTGAGGCATGAACGGACAGATCTGTCCTTCTTAACTTTAACCAAGTCTGTACTTTTAAATATATAAACTATATTGTAAAAAAAGAAAAATATTTTTCGCAGTTTTACAGTTTTTCTCGATTGCTTAAACACATTTCTTGAAACTATGCCTCGTATTCTCAAAACAGTAAACACAAATCCATAACGTCTCACCCAATTCCCCAAACATCCTATTTTCAGGTCAAAATGAAGCTCTACCCTCAAAACCATTCACTCTTGCTGAAAAACCAAACTTTGCCCTCAGACAGGACACACACTACAACATAGTCTTACACACTGGTGCTATAAATTCGAAACAACATTTCCAAAACTGGTAAGTCATGTTGCTTGTGGTCCCCCATCTTTTTTTTTACTCGCTCCTACTCTTATGTAAGATGTGTGTGAGCATCATATGACAGTAAAAGAGCACAGAAACCTTATTCAAATATGGAATTGTATTGGAATGGTAAAGAGTGTTGGTACATGCCTCCACTCAAGGATACAATATGATGAACAAGTCTAAGAATGTTCCACATATGGTTGAAATACCATCATTGGCCTAGAAAGATAACATTCTGGGAGTCAAGACTATAAAGGAGAAAGGATGCCCTCCCTTCACTGTCACACTCTGCAGCCACTCTGTGTGACTGTACGACTGCTGGCCTTTTCTTGCAAGAACATAAACCTCATCAAAGACAATTGGAAATGTTTGTCTCTTATTCAGTGAAAGAAATATGTTTGCCACCCACACCTCCCTGAAGGTTCTGATGATGGAGGCGACGGTGAAGCGACTCAAATTTGGCTGTACTCGTTGCCCAGCCTCCCTCATAGTCATACCATGGACAAGGACATGGCCAACTAAAGTGGCTTGAATTTCATCCGAGACTGCTTGTCTTCTTGCCCTTGCCCTTCCTGCTCCTCCTCCTCCTCCTCTTCCTCCTCCTCCTCTCCCTCTCCCTCCTCCTCCTCTTCCTCTCCCTCCTCCTCCTCGACCTATTGCTTAATTTCTCTGTGGATCCATTGTTCCAAAACTCAGTAAACTGATTTTTATCTTTTATAAAAGATTGTATAACCTTTTATCTATCTATTGAAGGATCTGACTGATGTGTGTTCAATTTTTACTCTTAGTGTTTTAACCTGGGTAATTGTGTGCTAACTGAGCTGAAGCTGTGCTGACTTGAGAGAACAATTTTGAATGCTAGTGCTTTCTAAATGACCACATGGTGTAGGCAATGAGAAATGAAGGGATTTGTGTGTAGAGTTTTGCTGTGACAGTTCAACAAATCTGACTTATGTGTCAAAACGGGGGAATAGTGTTCATAGTTCAGTGAAATGGGTGTGCTTTTTGATAAATGGCATTATGGTTTTGAAATTTTAGTTCAAAAGCCTGGTTATAGTGTTTAAGCAATCGAGAAAAACTGTAAATAAAACAAAGATTAGAGTATATGCTTGTTTTTTTCTACTTTAAAATGTCATGTTTAATTCAATGTGTTACTTCCAGTTTATTTAGTGAATTATTTATTTTCTAAATTAGTATTCATGCATTCATTCATTCATTCATTCATTCATTCTCCCATAATTTATGAATACTGTATCTTATATTTGTTTTAAGCTTGCCTGGGCTGCTCAATGTTTTCTGTCTGTAATGGTTTTGTTGAAAATTTCAATAATAAATAAATAAATAAAAACACAGCATTTCCTTTTCCTGTTTTGTACTGTTGCCCACAGTGACAATAAGTCATAACAACTCTAGAATATGAATGCTAAGTTTTTTTTGTTGTTGTTGTTTTTGGAAAGAAGATAAATGGCTTTCTCAGCACTCCAGAAGTCTCAGTCTTCACGTCTCCACCACTGTCACAAATGATTACACACACTCAAACCTCATTGCCAAAAACATATTCATCAGGACCTCCCTCGTCAAGAAGCTCTCAGAGGCACAGCGATTGCACACTATGATATTACTGTAGTTTGTTGCCAAAAACGGCCCAGCTCCACCAGTCCGGCCTTTTCTTTCTGATTTAATGGAAACAGCTGTTTACTGTCTCTCTGTTACTTTCACTGGTCTATGTTTGTTTAACCGTCTGCTTTCTTTTTCATAACTCAAGCAAATGTTTCTGAATGACCTGTTGCAGCCATTTCCTGGGCTTTTTTTTTGTTTTTGTTTTGGGAAGACCCACTCTAAAGCGTTTTATATAAATACCATCTGTTCAACTGAGCACATACTTTTATGTCAATCCTTGACTCTTTTAAAGTCAAGGATTGTAATGTTGCTAATGTCAGTATGTAACATCCATCTTGGCTATCACAATAAACTTTGTGTGTGTGTGTGTGTGTGTGTGTGTGTGTGTGTGTGTGTGTGTGTGTGTGTGTGTGTGTGTGTGTGTGTGTGTGTGTGTGTGTGTGTGTGTGTGTGTGTGTGTGTGTGTGTGTGTGTGTGTGTGTGTGTGTGTGTGTGTGTGTGTGTGTGTGTGTGTGTGTGTGTGTGTGTGTGTGTGTGTGTGTAAAAAGTCATATTGTACAATCAGCCATCTACGCTAAAAGCATTAAATGGATTCTTGGCCCTTTACTGTCCTCACTTACACAACCTGTAAAGTGCACTTGACCCTAAAGTAATGGTCTGGTAATATCTAAACAGTATGGTCATAGTTAAAGCATCTGTGAAATGAATAGAACAGAACTGAAGGCTGTTGTCACAGTGGTAAAGCTGATTTCTTAATCAGAATTTCAAATCATTTAAAATGTGCCAAATTTTTTATCACAT